TGTGGGGGTGGGGGGCATGGTGGGGGTGTCGCTCCACCCGCTTGCGTAGGAAGCCGGTGTGGTCGGCGGGCGAGTCGCAGGTGGCATAGTGGGCCACGCTCCGTTCATTCAGCTTCATTGCCCCACCTAGGAGCAGAAGAGAGGGGGAAGAAGTTGGCTTGGGGCAAGGAACATCTCACCTGCCGCACCAGGAGAGGCCTGATCCTGCCCTCACCCCGCTGCCGGGAAAAGCAGCCCCGACTCCAGCAGCCAACAACTGAGGACAGCATCTAACCCAGCAAGTTCCCCTAAGGGCAAATGGGGCTGGTCATCGCTGCCCCAGAGGGGTGGTCCTTCTCTGGGGAAAACACCACCAATGCTGCTGCGTTTCTTATTCCACGAGTGACCTATTTACTGTCTTTTTATGGGGCACGGCAAAGAAATCTGCCCCTGTGCCTGCGAGGCATTCATTTCGCTCTCGCCTCCATCACAGGGCAGGATAAGGAGGCTGTTTCCAGACCCAAGGGCTCTGGGACCTCCATCTGAGCACCCTCTCCCCGCACCCCGTTTCCACACAGGACCACCCGGCCCCACCAGCCCTCCCGCAGGTTCACCGGCAGTGGGGTGTGAGGTGCCGTACCGGCTGTTCGGCTCAGACTGCCACCCCTGGCCGTCCTCCTTGGGCAGGCTGCTCCCTTGCCGAGGGTCTCCGAAGCTTCACCGCACCGAGCCCCATCCCTGGTCAGAGGAAAGAGAGGGAGTCACAAACCACAACAGCTTGGGACTCAGAAGAGCTGCATTGCTCCCAGCCCGGAAAGCCGGGGCCCTGGGCGCACAGGAGCGGCTCTGAAAACCGGGACAGCGAAACCGGGGGCACTGGCATTGGCTCCCAAGCCTGAGCCCCATCCCAGCTCAGGCCACCGCTCCTGTGGGTTTGTTTTTTGGCTCCTGAGGGTTTGGTTTTATTAAAATAAACAAAAGAGCTTCTGTGGAAGCCTGTCGCTGCACCATGCGCGGAGGCCCCGTGGTGGGCGATTCGGCCGGACGGCGGGACCGGCAG